CAAGCGTTCCCTCTCGGGAGCAGGTTCAAGGTTGTGCATGTGCATTTTTTTTGTTAAAGGGAGAGGGTGGGTCTTTTCAGAAATTTGTGAAAATCCTCCACTATACCTTTAAGTATTTCATTTTTTCTGTCATATCTGTGAAGCTTCTCTATCATCGAGGTCATGGTCAAGCTTGACAATTTCTATTTAAGCAATTGGACTTGAAGTTTTCTAGAAGACGTTTAGCCTCGTTCCTGTTTATCATGAAATAGTTCAAACTTGATGCAGCAGCACAGGGAGATTAACCTTCATATACGCGGGTTAAAATATTATTCATTTATTCTGCATCAGTATTTTTAGCCATTTTATTCATTAAAGATAAAATTACTGATTTGCTTCCCATTTTTTACATATCTAGATCAGCTTTTCTATGACTTGTTCACTTGTAGAGCATTTGACCCATTTAAATTGTGTTTAACTTGTGATGCACTGTAAACCTACAGTGGTTAACAAGTGCTTTTAAATTAGATTTATTATTAATGTTAAAGGCCGTTGAAAGCTTGTGTTTAGGGATTCACAGTTTGCCTCACAAACAACCTTTTTCATTTAAGTAAAGGGAAAAAAATAGATAGCACTTCATTTCACTTTTTCCCTGTTGACATGCCTTCAAACTTTGATGATGGCCTCACCGTTCTGACCTTCCTCCTTCTGTTTCTCATCCCAACGCAGGAGAGAGAGTTCAGGGCTCCCTCCTGGCCATGCTGCAAGGCGGCTCGGGTAAAAGGCGTCCAGAGCTGCATTTCCCCCTCGGGCTGTTGAGTCCTGAGCTAGCAGAGTTGGGGACGGCCTTTGGGCAAATTGTTCACTTCAACCGAACAGTCTTTGGTCCGTTCTACGCACCCATCCTTAGGAAGCTGCTGCTACCATCAGGAGAGAGTGAAACTGGGGAAGACTCACGCTGACAAAGGACTGAACCGGAAAACACAGAATGTCATGATCATAAGCTGGGATGTTTTTATCCAAATTTTGGATTGTAAATATGGTGTTTGAGCTAAAAATCTGTGGTCAGAACATGAAACTATGCAGTTTAAGTCTCTGTTGTTTATTCACATGTACAGTTTAAAGAAACAAAATATTTTCTCAAAGGTCAGGAGGACTAAAGTAGAAGTAAAAGCATAAGGCAGAAACTGAATTCCAACAAATCTGTTTTTACAAAACATTAAGGAAGGATATGTAGCAAAAATAAATAGCAACAGACCAAAATGTTAAAACATAAGCACTGAAATGTATGCTGAAATATTCTTTATGCTAAGCTTTACCTTGTTTTCTGATGTTGAGTGTTTACACATAAATTACCAAAGGCATTACACAGTTTTTCATTTATTTCTTTTTATTCTTCGTCTTTTGCACCTTTGATTGTAAACAAGATATATACTGTTAGAGGGGAAATGTGTTACTAAACAGGGTTTTTTGGGGGAACAAAAAAGTTGTTGTGTTTTGTTTTTTCACAGCGATTCAAACTGATAACATTACAGAACAGATAAATAAAAATACAGAACTCTCCCACACAAATATTATGAGAGAAACATTGCATTTAAAAGTAATGAGCTGAGTGAAAAAAGTGATCATAAACGCATATTATCTATTTTATTTTTAATTAAAGTACTAATAGTTTTTTTAATCTGTTTGATAAGTATTTTTTTTATGCTATTTTCTTTTTTGGAAAAGCTTATTGTCTGTTTGCTAGCACAGCAACCTTTCAGAATAAGAGCTGTGGGCAGCGATTAAGGTGATGAACGCACTAAGCAGTCTGTTAAAATACGCCTTTATTGCTTTTTAGTTTAAAAAATAACTCACACTCTAAAATCCACCAAAATACAGTTTTTTTATCAGATTTCTGAACTTGACAGAAATATTTTATTTAGCTTCAGTTTTGATTGATTTCAGACCCTTAGGGTCTGAAGGGTCATCTCTTTGCAGAACTGGTTTAGATGCTGAAGTGTGAATTTAACCATGTTAAATAGCTAATAGCTGCTACAGCGGGACTCCAAAAACACACGCTACATATGTAAATCTGGCAAAGTGGTTGATTTTAGCTTAGTTTGATCTAAATGTATGATAGATTTGCTCCCTTTGCAAACACCTTTGGTTATGCTTCGTCTGCAGGAGCTCTATTTCCCATGTGACTTTAACACAATGGTCATATTTCGTCGTACAAAACTCTTATTTCCACCGTTAGTGAGACAGTCCTCAAAGCTTCGGGATTTCATGTCCTTATGGTTAATTAATGGTTTATTTAAACACTCTTCTCACATGAGAAAAATCTAAGATTGTTTAAGTCTGATTTTATTTAATAGAAAAGTACTTTAATATAATAATAAAATGAAAATTGTTATGTTTATAATTCTAGCATCAAATGACAATAACACTCTCAGTACTGAGGCAGTTATACGGACTATAGAAATAGATTGTTTAGAACTGAGAGATCTCTGGTACATTAATAGAGCATGCAGAGGCCAGCCTTTATGATTGGCTGTCTAATGTGATGTAGTTCTCACAATTCAACCTTTGATTGGATGATTAGTCCCTTGTGACAACTCATATCATTTTCTTCATTACTATTTGTTGGTCTGTTTAAGTTGAATTCCTGCAATATTTTGGTATGGTTTTCCTCAGCTAAAGTTATTTTGGGAGATTTGCTGTGTAATATAAGTAATACAGTTTCAACACCAGCCAAAGTGAACCTGCAGATGCTGAGAAGATGAAGAGAAGATGCTGCACCAAAATTCAAAGGAAACCTTATTATCATAATTCATAATAATTAAATCATCCTTGAAACTAGTTTTCTAAAGCCTTTGAGACTATTTTATAAAGGTTATTAAAATCAGTTTTAATATCTATGTATGCATATATGTACGTACGTACATATATGTATGTATGTATGTACATGTATATATATATATGTTTATATATATATATATATATAAACATACACATACATATATGTGTGTGTGTGTGTGTGCATGAATGTGGATAGGCACACACTTGTACAAAATTGCTGGTACCCCTCATTTAATAAACAAAAAAAAAAACTAAACAAAAAACACAATGGCCAAAGAAATAATTTGAATCTGACAAAAGTACTAATTAAAAATTAAATGAAAATGACAGTCCGACAATGCTTTTCGTCTATTCTTCAATAGTACGGTTAGCAAGACAACCAGAAAAAACTAATGAAACAGGGCTGGACAAAAATGGTACCCTTAACTTCATATTTTGTAATCAAATGCTTCCTGTAAATGCCAGTTAACTTCTGCTCCTCTCAGCAGGTATTTTGTCCCAGTACTCGTGAGTAAACTTCTACAGTTGTTGTTTCAAGGCTACCTTTTTTGGATGACATGTTTCAGCTCCTTTCAAAGATGCCCAGTTGGATTTAAGTTGGGCTCATAGAAGGTCTCTTCAGAATAATCCCATTTTTAGCTGTGTGCTTTAGGTCATTATCCTGTTGAAGACCCGTGACGTGCGACTGAGACCATGCTTTCTGACACTGGGCAGCACATTCTCATTAAAACTCCTTGATATTCTGGAGATTCCATTGCACTCTGCAGATATTCAAGACACCCAGTGCCAGATGAATCAAAGTGGACCCACAGCATAACAGAGCCTCCTCCGTGTTTCCCAGTAGGACCAGTGTTATTTTTTTTTATATGCTTCATCTTTGTGAACATATGTGAACACAGACCCAATGTGCCTTGGCAGAAAGTTAGATTTGATCTCATCTGTTATCATCTGATATCATGTGACCTTCTCCCAGAGGGTCTGTGGCCTGTCAATGTATAGTTTGGCAAATTCCAGTCTGGATTTTTCATGATTTATATTCAATTTTTTATATTCATATTTGGCTCAAACAAAGTTGAACTTGAAGTTCACCATTAATTTCTTTGGACGTTTTACTAGTTTCTTTCGTTGCCAATTATATTATTTGTCTCTTTGTCATAACTTCTTCCTGTGGCCACTTCCATGGAGGTAGACTACATCTTAAATTTTTTATTAATATGTGCAACTGTAGTGACAGAAACACCACACTGCTTTGAGATGGTCTCATAGCCTCCTATAGTGACCATTGGGTTTTTTGCTTTTGTTAAAAAAGGGGTACCAGCAATTATGTCCTCATATATTTAACAATATTAGCAAACTCCTAATGTCAAGACCTTGTGGTTGTTGGGTTTTTCTATTAAAAAATAAATCAATCAATAGCACAAACTTAATAAATTAACAACATAATAAAGCTTACATTGATAATTTACTGTATGTAACATCATGACTCAGTGTTACACTTAGGAAAGTAAAAAAAAAAAAAATCAGTTTCTTACTGTTTAGCCTATTTCTTTATTTTACTGTTTGGCATCAAACTCTCATGATTTAGACACCTTTTTTACATTTTGGCACTTTAAATATTTAAGTTATTACAACTAATCTTTTTGTTTCTTTTCTTGTTTTTTTTAAGGAGTTTAAATTGGAAAGATGCAACATGCATTAGTATTTTCAATTCTCAAATTTGGAGTGAATTTCTACTGTTGCAGTGGGATGGGTGGAAAGTAGCAGAGCTGTGCGTAGTAGCAAGCTAAATGTTCAGAAAGCCTAGAATATATCTTTATATCTTTTTAAAACACAGCGTGTTGTTTTAAGCAGCCTCCACGATCCTTAAAGGAAAGTGTTCCTTCTGCTGCTCCACGATTTTAGACTCGTTTCGTGAGCTAAAACTTCATTTAAGTTGTTACAGAGATTAGATATAAATAAGTGTACATTTTTTTACATCTTAACAGAGCACATGGAAAAAGCAAAACAAAACTGTATAAAGGTAGTTTATAATGTGAAGTTTTCTCATTAAATTCATTTTCTGTGAGCCCTTAAAACAACAGCTTTACACGTAAATGCTTTGTTCGTGCTTGTTGCATTTTAACTGCTCTTTGAATGCCAACAAGAGAAACACAGCAATACTAATCTTCGCTTTCCTTTCCTTTTTTTTTCTCTTTTCAAAGATCCGCAGGAACTCAGTTCCGCAACTTGAAAATAATAAAGTACATGAGAGGCACAAACGGGGCTAATCGTTTGTTTAGATTAGAAGTTGCACCATCCACTAATCTTGTTCAGCAGGGAAAACAATGAAAGCTCAATTGTAAAATAATTACCATCTTGTAATGTCACTTTTGATTTTGAACAGCTGGTGTAATGTGTCTGTTTTTAACTGCTCAGCCATGTAAAGAAAATCAATGCTGACAACCAACTTGAGAGGGTTTCTTTAGTCTTTGTATTATTTAATATCATGAATATAATATTGCTTTGAAATTCGAAACAGTATCACATTTTCAACAACAAGCTATACTCTGACCACAAATATGGGCAAAGCATTGTATGCTGGAACAGTTTATTTTTTTTCTCTACATTTTGTCACTCATTATCAAATCCCATTCATTTTCTTCACCTTAATCAGTAGAAATTCTCATTAATGGTAATACTAACGGGCTACAGAGCTCTAAACATAACAGTACCTACAGGACAAGATCAGTTAGATGGAGGCCAGGAATTAGACCTGACCTTACTGTCTGACCTCTCTCCAAACAGGATTGATATACAGGTCCTGTTTAGCCAGTGATGTGTGACCACAAGTTACCTTTTGGCTGTGAGTTAGGGATTCATCTTGGGGGCAGTGCAGGAGCAGAAGGTGTACAGAGTGAGATATAAATGTCAGAATAACGCCGCTTGGCCCTTTCTCCCTCTTTTTTATGGTTTTCCCTCTGCTATGTGCACTAATTCAACCCTCGCAAACACACTCGCATCGGCTGCTCCCCTTCAACTCACAGCTTGGTGTCCGGAAACTTGAACGTTGGGGTGAGCTACACAGGGAGAATACGAATGTTAAAAAAGAGGACCGGTACATGCACAGCCACATCATGCTACCAAAAACTTGCTTTAAATAGCTGCTCTTCATTAAAGTGTAATGCTTTTTTTTCTTTTTTCTTAATAGTGTGCAGCCATACGAGAGCAGGTTGTCTTGGTGACATACAAAATGGTGGTGGTGGAGGTGGTATGGGGGGGACGAGTGTGACAGAAATTGTGAGAACGGTGGAAACGGATGGATGGGTATGAATTAGGATGTAAACTGAGAGAGGGAAAATAAAAGGCATATGGCAGATGAAAGAGCGAGAGACGAGACGCTGCTACAGTACAGTACACACAGAGACTGCTCAGGCCAAGTGCATCAGAGGGGACAAAACACAAAGACACTGCCAAACATGCATCATCAGTGGAAGCTAACAGATAAAAGTCGGAACAAAGTGGCAATGACATAACCACGGCTCCGCACACACAGCAGCTACATCTAAAGAGTCTCCAGACACACTGTCTTTGGAGAGGAGCTCAGTCCCTCACTTCTCCTGCGGCACACAGAGAAACAAGGACAGCGGCCAGTGATGCAGCAGTCCAAATCCACGTGGACAGACAGAAACAAAGCATACAGGACACACGGCTGGCAGTGCACGCGGTGGGGGCGGGGATTAAGAACCCAATATCTCAATTTCACAATCAGCATCTTTTTTTTAATCACAGTGCAGGAGGAAAATACTTTGTCTGAATAATCATGGTTTCAGCTTTACAGATCTACCGCATGAACCGGACACCAAAACAAGACGAGATTTGGCTCTTTCAGGTGATGTGACAAACTTTAAGTGATCTGTTTCAAATTTAGAAGTGGTGGTAAATAAAAACCCAACTATTTAATATACATGTATAATAAGCTATGCTATAAAGGGAACTGTGCACCAAACTGTGCAGGGGGCTCATGTTACACTCATGTTAAAGAGACGGCTCACAATTTTGTTTTAAGTGGAGCTATGTTAGAAGGTTGTAAGAGTTTCATATCTTACCTGCAGCACATTATTGTTTTGGTGTCTTCATTAAGAGAAAAATCTGATGAGTTAGTCCTGGAGGCTGAAGCTAAAAGGGCCGAAGCCAAAGAGAAATCTAGTATTTAAAAAAAGATAACTTAATTTAAATCAGTTTATGCAAAGGCTTTTGAAAAATTTTAAAATGCTAAAAAGAAATGCTCATGTTGGGAGACATACACTATTTTATATATTGATACACTGCATTACTTTTTTACTGGTAGTTACTGTGTGTGGAAACACAATTTTATAAGCCTATTTCAACCCTTTCAGTTGTTGTATTGGAGTAAAAAACAGTTGCAAATGAGCCTCTATTCTCTAAATTTGAAGGCTTAAAAAATAAATAAATAAGGATGAAAAGTTCTGGATGTATGTTTTATTTACACATAATAAGTGTGTTCATGTGTAGTTTATTTAATAACGATATAAAGATCCAGATTTTTTTTCCTGATCTCTTTTCATAATTTTTTATATTTGCTTAAACAGATTAATATATAGGCTTCTTAAACAAATGAATAAAAAATATATATGTACGTTTTTACATTTTTGCAAAAAAAGACACAGTCGCTGCTTAATTCCCCCCAAAAATAAGACAATGTTAAAACAATAACATGTCAATTAATTTAGTACAGTAATCATTATATATAAAAAAAACAAGTTAGTTTCACCTGCGTTTAAAAAGTAGCTGCAGGGAAGGAGTGCAGAGCTCCTTTACATCGTGCTAATGTCTCAAGCCATTTTAGGGTTTATTTTATTTGTCCCACTTTCAGTTTAACACCACAAATGTTTTATCATCATTTCATTGATCCAATAAGTGTCTTTATACGATGAAAGTAGGATGTAACCAAAGTAATGGGGGAGTTTTTATTTAACATAAATAGGGTTTCAAAAATAGAAAACTTTGATTATGAGGAAAGGAACATTTTTGGCTTGAAGACCTGTAACATATTTTACCCATTTGGCTTCATCCCACAAACCGAACAATTTGACCATTAGATCAATCGTTGTCTCTTAATTGTCCCCAGGTCTAAACGATACACAATACAGTCTGTCCAGGATGTCATTAAAAAGCCAGCTAAAGATGCTCATCATCCAGCAATGGGAACTCTGATTAGCTTCACTCTTCAGGAGAAGCTCGTTTGGATTTTTAAATGAAGACACCAAAAGATTTGTTTACTGATTTAAGAGATCAACTCCTTCTTCCTTTTTAACACAACCTCACTTAAAAACATCAGAGCAATATCTTAAAAGAAATCTTCATGTGTTGAATACAAAAATAAGTGAAACATGGGACTATTGTCAATATTTAAGTTTTTTTTTCTTTCTCTTTTCATTCTTTTACCTCATATTGAGATATTTTCAGTTACTTCCCATCTTTAAAAAAGTATCACAAAATGCACTAATACTCCACTTGCACTTTAGGAAAACAAAGTTTTAAAAGGGATAGTGCTTTTTTTTTCAAACACAGTGCTTTTAGTTTTGCTTTTTTTAAATGAAGAAGATTTTGCAGGCTCTCAGCGCTACCATTAATGCTAACAGGCACTGGGCAGTACAAGGCCAGACTCATCTCAACAAACCTGTACCAACATCTATGTAACATATTCCCAGCCAGTCACAATTAAATACAGCAGAAAAGCCAAAAATGTTTTGTTTTTTTTCTCCTTCCCCTCTTTTAAAAACTGGTTGGAGACGTGCAGCTGTTGGGTGCTGGAGTTTGGCAGGATAGGGGATTACTTGGGAGTTTTAGTCGATTATAGATATCGCAACATCGTGTAGGAAGGTTTCAGTTCTCAGTCGGCTTTGAGTTCAGACATCAGTGATCGATTTGTGACCAATCCATTTGTGGGCTTACTATGAGTACTGTACAAATGAGTAAAAAAATACAGGTTGTTTGCTGCATGTTGCTGTTTTTCTTTCACTATATTTATATGTATTTGTCCATCTTGTGTCCCATGCTAGCAAAGCAGCCTCCTCATAGTGCCTCACAGTGGTAGATGCCTGGTAAGACAGGACAGGCTACAGATGGAGAAAAGAAAAAAAAATAACTTGTAACTTTCTTGAAACAAAACAAATTAATTAATAAACCGAAAGCCAAAAATATACTTGAAAATGTGAACATAAAATGCTTTTACTACTGATCTGAAGCTTTATCTATGGGGGTCTTAAAGGAACAGAGCAACATTATGCAAAGAATATTAATGATTTGATAAGAAATGATAGTAATAAAGTACTAATTAGTAATAAAAGTGCTATTCATGTGATATTTGTCATCACAAAACTTGGTTATCTATAACTTCTTATTACCCTGTAATAGCTATAATGTGACATAAAAGTATATTTCACTCCACAAGAGGTTTCAGTAGCTTTTTTTAGCTAAACAATTTATATCAACATTAGAAAACTTACTCAGATAATTTCTGGATTTGTTTTAAATATTTTTTAATCTGCAAAAAACTTATGCACAAAATGTGCACAAAATCTGTTTCCACTCTATTGTAAACATTATTTTCTTACTTTTTCTGCCTGTGTTATCTGTTGTCCTCTAGTTCTGTGGCAGCTGCAGGGATTATTGCTGATCCAGATCTGAGAAATAACAGCAGGAGCTGTGCTGAATTTTTTAAACGCAGGGTAACTACAAACTTAGACTTTGCCCCCTGCAGTGACTAGCTTTGCACAAATGACAGAAACTGTATGAGTCACGTTTTAAACCAAGTAAATTTAGATTTGCGCCATCTGCTAAAATATATTAAAGATTATTAATGTTCTCAAATCTCTGCAAGAAATTTTTTTATTTCTTAAAATGTCAAACTGCTCATTTAAGAGTTAAACCCACAGACCAGTTTAACCTTACACAACATCTCTAAAAATACTTGAACTTGCTGTGAAGTCAAGTCTGAACAAATCAAAAATGAACATACTTGTTTAGCCTGTGGAGAAAACCGAAGGAAAACCAAACAAAAAGAATGTCTTGAAAGAGGAAGAAGAAGAATAAAGATGCAACCTTTGGGAGCTATCGGGGATTTGGAGGCAGATGCAAGTTGTCAGGAAGAGGAGGATGAGGAGGAAGAGGCAGTTTGGTCGAGAGAGAGCAGGGCCACTGTAAAATGAGATCAGTCCAGGATCATCCGTTCCAAGGCTCCGCCATTGGCTGCAGCAGCAACAGGCGAGGGAGGCTGCCGGGGATGTTGGGAGAGCTCAGGAGAGCCGCAGGAGTGTTTGTCATGGCATGTAGGAGGTCGGCGTGGGTTGCTGGGCAGGGCAAAGGAAGGTGCAGGAAGAGGCAGCCCTGAGGGATGCTATACCATCACAGTGAGAAGGCACGGGCTCACTTGTATATATATCTCTCTGAGTGTGTGTGAGAGAAAGAGATGAGCAGAGAACCGGATGCAAGGGTAGAGGCGAAAAGTACAAGGGAGGTGCAGTGAGGAGGGGGCAGCTGTGTGGGGGAGGGAGGGGGGAAGTTCCTGCCTCAGAATATGGTGGTCTCATACTTGGTGCTGACGGGACGCCTGTTGGAGTCTCGCTGGTCACAGAGCCAGGTGGTGCTGCCCAGCGACTGCATGTCGGCGTCCATCTCCAGGGGGTCAATCTGCCGGAGGGGGGATGGGGAGGGAGGAGGGACGAGAGGAGGAGGTGTGAGACGTGTGGCAGTGGAGGCCATTTGCGCCACACTGGCGAGTCCTCAGCTCACACACACGTACATATGGATTAGAGGTACAGTCAGTCCAGTGATCAGGTTAGAATCACAGACACTGAGGGCTCAATCCACAGAGAATGGATGACATTTGACAGAGAAAACTCAGCTTCTGTGAGCAGCAGCAGCAAACCAAACACATGACTCTCTGGGTGCTAAGGAATAAAACTGGTAACTAGTTTAGAGGCACCGCCGGCTTTTTCCGGATGCCTATTTCTTTAGATTTTATGCTGATAAAATTACTTTAAAATAGCCTTAAAAAAACTGTCCTTTTACAACCATCTATCTGAAACAACCATGCCGTCATTTTTAGAGACTAAGTCAAATGACTCTTCCCACAAAACCTACGCTTACTTCACTTCAGCTCTTATATGTAGGATGGAGATGAGAGATCGGGAAAGTAAAGGGATGAGGAGGATAATGAGATCAAAAAAATATTAAGAACCACAAAAGCAAATAGTCAAAGTGCAAGGCACAATCCCCCCAAAAATAATATAATAAACTGAGAAAAGGGAGGTTTGTTTGTAAGCAGATGTATGGTGACTGTGGGCTGAAAAAAGGAAAGAGAAGGACCTGGATTCCAGGGCTAACAGAGTGCAACGGGAGGAAGGAAGGACGGTGGGTAGTACACGTGTGACAGTGACAGCAGCGGCATTCGAGCAGAGGGACGCCCTGGGAAGCAGGAGGACCAAGAAGACAAGAACAAAGACATGTTATAATAAAGAAGGCAGGAGAGGAGGGACAGAGCATTTCATGGACAGTGAAGAAACCCGGCAGCAGAATATTTAAAGGAGAATTCCGGTTTTTTACACTTTAAGGCCATTTTCTGTAGTGTCCAGGATGAAATCGAATGATCGACACCAAAAGTTTGACAATTGCTCCTGTCTCTGCTTTTTGGCTCATTTAGAATCCCCCCCTGGCTGCTTCATAATGGCTGCCATAGTGCATGTCCGATAATGTCCTTAAAACAACCTTAAACGTTCTTTTTTTTAAATATGCTACTCACCGGGTCGTCAGCGCTGTTCAATGACGTTCCAAAAAAAGTTTCGTGAAGAAAAAACGTTCCTGTAGTGTTTTATTTAGCATTTTGTAAATCCCATTGAGTTCTGTTGGAATAGTCAATATTCCCCTGCCACCGGAAACGGAAATGGGGCCTGTTTACACAGTTGTAGTCTTTTCGCTTCACTCTGTGTGCTCCGACGTCGAGAATCAAGAATCCACCTTTCGTATTCCATTTTCAGAGTTTTTTAAAGTGTTTAACAGAGACGTTAGCACCTCGACGTCGGAGTACACAGAGTGAAGCGAAAAGACTACAACTGTGTAAACAGGCCCCATTTCCGTTTCCGGTGGCAGCGGAATATTGACTATTCCAACAGAACTCAATGGGATTTACAAAATGCTAAATAAAACACTACAGGAACGTTTTTTCTTCACGAAACTTTTTTTGGAACGTCATTGAACAGCGCTGACGACACGGTGAGTAGCATATTTTAAAAAAAGAACGTTTAAGGTTGTTTTAAGGACATTATCGGACATGCACTATGGCAGCCATTATGAAGCAGCCAGGGGGGGATTCTAAATGAGCCAAAAAGCAGAGACAGGAGCAATTGTCAAACTTTTGGTGTCGATCATTCGATTTCATCCTGGACACTACAGAAAATGGGCTTAAAGTGTAAAAAACCGGAATTCTCCTTTAAACCATTTCTAAAAAAAATAAAAAAAACAAGTTTCCAATCAGGGATTTTTGGCTCTGAGTATCAACTGTCCAATCCCAGTTAGCATCAGCTGAGGACGGCGGCTCGTGGGAGCTTTGGATTTCTACACATGCTGACGTGAGGTGCATGTGGCAGTGGTGAGGGTGGAGCAGAATGTGATTAATTAAACATCATCTTCATTTGTTTTGTCAGGGGCATCAGCTCTTTTGCATGCCTGACAAATATGGAGGGATTATGAAACAGAGAGTAAAGGCATGTGAAACATCCTTTACTCATCCTACGGAAGTGTAAGATGACCACAGACCAAAAAAAAAAAGAAGTTACCTCAGATTATACTACAAATCCAATGTGTGGTTGCTTTGTGTCTCCAGCATTTTATTGTTTGGCACAGTCGTTATTGAATCCATTTAATTTATTCTTTGGCATTTATCCATCTCAGTTCAAATTCTAGCATCTTAATGTTTTTTTTGCGTCTCTGTGAATTTTTAGCCACAGTTTCGGTTTATTCCTGCATATTTTCTTCATTTATGCATCTGTCAGAGAAACTCGAAGGAGCTTTGAATTTGGCTGACACTTACTAATGATCCATTACCATAAAAGTCTTTCCTAATTACTTTAAAACAAAGAGCAAGAGTGGGGTGTCAGATTTTCCCATATCATCTCTGAAATGCTGGAATTAGATGTGGGTTCACCACATGGATCAGCTGCTTATGTGTGGGCAGACAGTTTGCTTTAGGCTTAGTTTTTTCTGCGAAGCCATGCAGGCTGCTGTCAAACTACATACTTAGGAATGGATTCACGGTTTCAAACAGTTCAGGGCAGAGGGGTTTGTTTTGGTAACCTCAGGTACATATCAGACTATCCCAAAAAACTGAACTATTAATGTAATTCAGATCAAAAGAAAAACTTCATAGATCTACTGCACAGAGTTTAATATATTCAAATTGTTTTATAATATTCATTTAGGTTTTGTATCACTTTTATTTATATATATATGAAGGTGCTGAAACCTTTTAATTCCAAACCTCTTGTTTAATTGCCTGATTATTAAATTCAAACTGCTAATTGAAGCATCGTTAAACATCAAATTTTAATCCAACTGTTTCTTCACCCACTTTAAAATGCTACTGCAATATAATATTCTTTATGTAATTTACTTCTACTTAAGTTCTATTCATGTACGGCACTTTGAATGGTCTTACTACTGACCAATTAAACCAAAAAAATTAATTTGATGAAATTTGGGTTGCAGCTTATAAAAAAAAAAAAAAAAAAACTTTCCCAAAAAACTAGTTTATTACAAAAGACTAATTACAAATTATTTTTCAAAAGTTTGATGTTATGGCAGTTGTCCAGCAGATGTTTAGGGATAGGCTGCATTAAGGCAATCAGATACTAAAAGTAATTACAAGTGAAGTTGGCTCTATTCAAGCATTTTATGGAAAGTTGAGTGGAAACAAAAAAAAAAACATTGTGCAAAAAGCAGCACAGCCAAAATGTTGGATATATTTAAAAATTTGCATAGTCAGCGATGATTTATTGGGCCGAGTCATCTGCTGTGGTTTGTCCGCTGTGATTTACCGCATCTGAAGTCAGCACAGCCTTCTAGCTGGAGGATTTAGAGCAGTTTATGTGTCCTCGTTAAAAAGCTTAATGAGATTTCGTTCTTGAGCAGGTGCCGGTGTCTCACCATATTACCGAAATACTGATACAATTAGAAAAAAAAATCATAAAAAAAACGTTGTCTGCATAGACAAGATGCTAATCAGAGGGTTAATTACCATGGTATCGCCTTACGGGATCAGGAGAGTTATCTATGGGATTTATGCTGAGCGAGTTTGCTGTCAAGAGGAAGATTAGAGACTAGAGACCCAACAATGCAGAGAGGATAAAGGCTTCCATTAAAACAACCTGGGCTTCATTAACTCCTCAGGAATGAACAGACTGGTTGCCTCCACGCCATGACTGAGTGATGAGACCTGCAACTACTTAGTGTAAATACTGACAGTACGTGGACTTCATTTTCATTAGGTGGACTTTTTTTTTATTGGCTGGTCTTATGTAATATAATTTTCTGAGAAACTGAGGTTAGAAGTTTTATTAGCTGCAAGCCAACATTTTTGAAAATTAAATTTCTTGAAATAAATGTATTCTCCCCCGTTTTTAGCAGGTGGGACAATATGTCAAGAAGATAAGACAATTAAAGTAAAAAGAAAACGACATATTTATCTTATTTCAAGTGCACACTATCTTATAATCCTGTTTTAAGGGCAAAATACAAATTTTATTGGCAGATCATTTTACTGACCAGCAAAACATGTTTTCATTTCAGTACATTTTTACCTATTTTTAGATAAATTTTTTCAGGACATTGATCACTCATTCTTTTGGAGGAATTAGAAGTTGTGAGGAAGAGAAACTCTTGTGATAAATGAGCTTTTTAAAATAATACTCAAATGTACAGGGATGCAGCCATATTTGGGTAATTCAGCTGATAAAATTGTGTTTGTTCCGGCCACACCACCATGTCATCCAATATATAGCTGTTAATGAGACATGTAAACACTGAAACCATTTAGGTTGTAACAACTGGAAATGTGTGGGTTTGGGCTTAGCAGGCTCTTTGGAGATGATGTATAAAAGCTGTTCAAACCAACAACATTCTGCAGCAACATGAACCATTAAATGTAATCACAGATGACAGGAATCAGTCCCCGTCTCATCTAAAAGCTAAACACTGAGCCAGCCTCATTATGCAGATGTGTGCATATACTCCATATTTTATAGTGAGAGGCAGGTGGTAAAACAAAATGATTTGTGTTTCTGCATAAGCAGTTGGTCCTGCGGTATCAGGTGACAGTGATTGCTGAATGTCTATTACATGCCTGCTGAATGGTCAATATGTCAATACACCCCCCGGGGGGTTGGTAAACATTTTCGCAGCCCGCTTAATCAGAGGTGAGAACTTGCGGGCGTGTCCGCCCATCGGGGGAATGAGCACTTAGAAACAGCAGCGAATATTTCATCTGACTGTAAGCAACAAATAAAGCTTTCATTCATCACTCCCCCCCCCCCCTATATGCACCAATTGAAAATCTCTACTGATCAGGAGTGACTTTCAGTGCTGTGGGGTATGTGAGAAGAAGCTGGTGGAAAAGTAATGACTCATCACTTTTTTTTCCCACACACAGCAAATCTTCCTTTGTAGGTGGCCTGTTGGGAATTGAGTAGGGAAGGGAAAAAAAATCGGTCATAAGGTCTGTGTATATTTTCTGAATTACGACTCCACAGCTGCATATTTCTGCCTGTTCCTTCTCCTTATAGAAATTATTTCAAAATAAAACAAAACTCCTAATAAAAGCCAGGTGCCTTCTTCTTTTTATATACTCACCGCTGATCTTCTCATGCTGTTCCACGACTGAGACACTGGGCGGCTGGTTTTGGTTTCGATGAACTCTGAGCCCATAGATGTTGGAGGCACATACTGTCTCGCCCTGGACTGCACTGCCATCTGATAAGCCACCTCGAATGCCTGCCCCAGTGTTAAGATAATCTCATAGGTTTGGATCTAGGTTGCATAAAAGAAAAGCAGCATAACCGGAGAAAAGGTTAAAATAACGAAATGGTAAAGCTTTGTCTCAGTGGCCTGTCTTAGTAGAGAATTTACAAAAATATTGAAATTAAGTTATTTTATGTTAAATATAAAACTTACAAGGAAGCATAAATTAATGCATAATTATTCAGCTGATTAGAAATGATCAACGGTTGTAGACATTTTCTAAAATAAAATGATCTGAAAAGTGTGGCATGCCTGAATCAAAGTTTAGGACAGGATTTTTTTTTAACGAAAAATGTACAGACAGAATATACTCCAATATGGATGTATGCCAGGATTGAAAACATTATTGCATAGCTATTATAATTTTTTTGTTACTATTATTAGAGTCTGGATGTAATTGCTTGTGTTAGGTTTATTCAATGATGATTATAAAGTTAATGTGTGTACATATGAAACATTGGAGAAATGAGATGCTTCACTCTGTTTAATGCAAACTGTCATGGAACGGTGGTAGAAAATTGCTGATGTTTGTGCAAGGCTAATCACAGTTATCAGAAGACCACTCTGTTCTGTGATTCAGTCAGAGGAGCATTTTGTCCTATGACCTGATCAATTGCCTTGTCAGAAGAACACTCTAATTTGTAACCCACCCAATGCGTTATGATCTGCTAATAAAAAGCCTCTGCAGAGGAAGTCAGTCAGAGAGTAGTGAGCTGAATGTAACTCTCTCCTTCTGCAGAAGTTGTTAAAAATCCCTCTTCTGTGTAGACTCAGTTCCTCTTTTACGAACCTACTTTTTTAACCTAACAGCTTGCTATACGCTTTCATTAGGAGAGAGGAACAAGAAGTGAATATAAATGCCAATGTTATGCGTTAGGTTTTTATTATTAAAGAATTCAGAAAAATATATTTTTTTAAGATCTCTACTTTATGTTGGTCTGTTAAATAAAATTCCAACAAAATATTTTAGGATTTGTTTATGGCGTAGCAACATGTTGAAACATTCAAGGGATTTTTAAATGTCTGGAGGACATTTTATGTAGGTTGCTTAAAAGTTTGAATGTTGACTAAAACTTTGTCTATGTATAAAGGCAAGAACGTATAGGCCTACATTATTTGGCCTTTTTTTTTCAAACGTGGTTTTCTTTTATCAATCTTAATGCCAACACATGCAAAATTCCCAAAATACAGAAGCCTTTAACCTGAATAACCTGCTTATCTCACTAATGTATCGAATAAGATTTTGTACAAAATCTAGAAGTTAAAAGCTTTAAGAGATTTCCTTACTGATTAAAAAAATTATGAAAAGTGATTTCAAAGCCTGCTTACAGTGGTTACTAATATATACCATTCAAAATCTAAATTCATACAACAAGTAAGAGAATGCAAAAATAAAAGTTTGCACTCCAATCAAGCCAGTTGATGAGCAGACAGAGGAAGAAAAATAGAAATAATAAATATAAATAAAATGAATGAGAAGCTTGTTAGGTTTAAATGCAGGCAGCTGCTGACAAACAAACTAAATTCCCTTTTTATCTACTAATTAATTAAATTATTTATTTTTTGTAGAAATCCTGTCTTGAGAATATCCTCCCAGGTTTACATGTTTTTCTTAAAGTGCAGAATACTTACGACTTCAACAGTACTGAAAACATGACAGAAGTGGTGTCCACTCTTTGAATCCTTGGTGATGTAAGCAAACGTACAGAGGTCATCCGGGTCCTGGGCGGCACACGAGATGTTTCTGATTTCATGCTCTGCAACTATAGTCTGACAGGAAATGTAAAAAGAAATCAGTCTCTATCTAGTGATAGCAGGGTTAGTGTTGACTGTTTAATAAGCACAGAGGATGGTACCTTTGAGGCAGCATCAATGAACTTCACACCTCTGTAGGTGATGGACAGTATGACAACTGGGCCCTTTTTGGAATCCTTCGATTTCTAGAATAAATGAGATTGAAATCATGGTTCTGTTTCGAAAAATAAACCCAACAGTTACTAAAATAAGAGCAGTGGGACTTTCCAAAGCACATCTTTTTTATTGATACCCTTTCATTTTGGGATTGTTGTTCTTTTACTGGGATTTATCAATTACTTATTTTGTTAAGTACAAAAGTAGTTTACTTGCTGTTATTATGACCATGAATGTTGACTTTACCAATTTTTTCTCAAAGATACGTATATATAACCATCCATATTTCTAAATCAGTCAAAAAGTTGCATCCCAACCACAAAGGTGTTGCCAACATGTCAAGCTTTGTGAGAGTAAAACCATACTGAGGGGCAAGAGAACCGAGCGTAATGCTTGTGCATTGCACAAAATAGTTGTAAAACTGTAGGCTACTGTATTACTATTCAGTTTGACTTCAATTGCAAACAACTAGATGGTTAAAACGTGAACTCTGTTAGGTGCCCCATTAGAACATCCATCACTAGCCAACACCAGAGATGGTGCCTTTAGGGATAAGTTGATGTTTCAGGCATGGTTTTTCAAAGCTCTGAATACAACCCAAATGATTTAAGGTGTTATAAATAACACCTTATGTATGTGATGCATATGCTGCCAAATTCAGGGCCAATAATTAACTAACATTAATCCAGAAATTTGTTAATTCAACAGAAGCATGTGGTCCAACCGTCTAAAGGCTACTGGGGGTGTATGCTTTGAGCCTGTGCAAATGATTTTAACTTTGTGAGAATTCATTAAAATCTAGTATAAAGTTCAAAACTGTGCACCCTGTCCTATTGTTAAAAGAAATTCAAGCTGTCCATTGCATTATATGTCAACTAAAAATGTATAATATCTAAACATTTAATAATATCCCCATTATTAGAGTGTCTAAACCTTGGAACATAATCATGCATTTGGCTCATAATGAAAAAGTGATCAAAAAAGAAAAAAAAATCTCTCAAACTTACCCTTATTTTTGCACAGGCATCTTGTGTGGATTCAATCCCTCGTAAATCCCTGATTATCAATGATCCTAAATACTGAGGAAAAAAAACATTTCAAATGCATTATCATCAATGTTAATGAAAGATCAAAGAAAAGAAAGAGACCAATACAGATGAACTCATTTCACCTGGTGCACTGAAGACAGAAAAGGATACTTACTGTTGCCTCGTACCTGCAGGAGTCCAGGATGAGCTTCTCAGGCTGGTGATGCCAGGCAGACACGGTGGCGTACGTGGCAGACTGGCTCTGGGGCCGGAAGTTTAAACGAGACTCTTTTTGGCGTTCACTGTGTCGCTCCTGCAGAAATGCAGAGTCACAGCCCTGTTTCATATCTCTGCATCCTACCTTAAACAGCTAAGAAAGGGATTTTACCTAAACTTTGGGTAAAAGATTCAAAGAAAAATACTTTTTGACTTCAGATACTAATATGTGTCTGTTAAGCTGCAGAGTCAAAAGACCTCTAACTGCTGCATATTAAAGTAAAAGCCTCTGAAGTCTGTCTGGTCAGCACTTTATAGTAAGGCTCTTTTATATATATATATATTCCAGCAAGCTCATAAATATTCATGCATTTTCAGCCTTTAGGTCAGTGCAGGATGTGCTGAGCTCTTTCATAAATCACATGTACTTATTATAATACTACACGCTCTATCAAAAATCTATGGATTGAAGATGTCATTCTCACTTAGCTGTGCAACATATTCCTTATTTTGTTTTGGGGATGTTTCTGTGTCTTTTTCTTTCTTGGCCTCAGTGAGGCAGAGACCAGGATTGCAACTTGACTGTTTGTGTCGCAGCTTGACCTTTAGCAAATGCTCAAATTTGATCACAAGGATATTTTTAGCTCAATCCCTTGTAAAATTATCCAAGACGCTCAGGGAGGATGATCTGAGCTTTGTGAGATGAAACACAGCTGTAGGGCAGGGTTATAATTTGAGAGGCATATTTTAATTTTCAGCAAAGTTGTTTTTATGAAAAATGAATGATTATATGCAAATGCAAGAACAGAATTCTTGCATAAATGCAAAATGAATGGGTCATTCCTATTTTTAGCATTTTTTTTTGCAGAGATTTTGACCAAAATCTAGCAAACATTTGAGCTTCAACTTTTTTTTTTTTTTTTATCCCTGCTTTCGGGGGTATTTCTGTGTTCTCACCTGAAGAAACTGGAATAAATCCATCCAAATATTTCAACCTTCAGGGACCATTGACTGAGCTTAGCCTGCTGATCTTGAACATATATCATTAATATCTGCAAGGAGTTGCAGACTTTATAGCCACAGAACACCGCAGTGTTATTTAATATTTTTATTTTTTGTCCTACCAGATAAAAAAGGTTTTAATAGAAAATGCATTTGATAATTGTGACTAAATGGACGAAGAGGCATTTCTTTTTTAGAGCAAGACTGGATGGAATTAAAATCTGCCCACTAATTATAAGGCTGTATTAAACTGCGGATGAACATAACAGTTCTGCCTCTGGGAGGAAACCAAATGTGCTGAATCCTCCTCAATTTTTAAACTATTGATTCTCTTATAATAAGCTGTGGTGGGTGGATTCTTTAACCGAAATAAGTGAAAAAAGTGAAGAACTTACAACAGAACGCGGCCTCTCATTATAGGAACGCAGGGAAATGCTACAGTCTTGGTCAAGTGCTCTTCGCCTTCTGTCCGATTCGGTCAGGGGGAGGAGCATGTCCATGGAGCGACTTGTGTAGGGGTCCAGCTGACTGAGAGGTGAGGTGGTCTGGGATAGGAGGTCATGAAACTGTAAGAGAAACACAAAACATATTAACAGTTTGACAGCACTGGCCTCTCTTCAACTCTACTTCTGCCAATAGACAATTTTTTGTTAATTTTAGCTCAATTTAAACTTCCTGAGAATCAGACCTCACTGTTTTACTATTCTGAAGCCAATGCTGTCATCTGTAATTAAAGAATATTTTCCTGAAATCAAAAAGGGTATGCTCTGATTAGGAAAACCATTCACCATATGATGCTGCTTAAATCTATAGTTATTTAAGATATATCAACACAAATTTCGGATATCTACTGTACCAATCCAAAAAACAGGACGATTTTTTTGCTCTAGAATGGAAGAATAATTTCAACTTTTTTTCAGGTTTTTTTTTTCAATTGCCATTACACTGTCACTAGTACAGAACATCGAAATGAAGTCTCTGCATTGAACCAATCCCTTTGGGGAGCAGTGGGCTGCCATTGTGCGGTGCCCAGCGAGCAGTGTGGGATTAAGGGTGTTGCTTCAAGGAGCCATTGTGTTAGTCTGTGGGAGTGGGGCTTGAACTCAGAACCTCTAGGATCCAAGCTCAATGCCCTAAGCACTGGGTCCCACTCCAAAGTTGCAGTCTTGATGTGTGTGGGAGCCATAAATGAAATTAAGGTAATGTTTTAAAATATAAATATGCAGTGGTGGTTCTGGGCCAAATTTAGCAGTGGAGCCAGTACTATTTGCACTGGGGCATTAAACAAAAGAATATGGCAAAAAAAAGGGCCAAAAGCTCGTTGGCTGATAATCAAGTAAACAAAAGAGCAATTGTAACACTGGAAAACTCTGATCTAGCAGATGAAAAATGGGATATTATCTTAATATGACTGAAGCCGAAAATTCAAAAACTTATTTTTGTAACATTGATTAAATAAAACTGCAAAAAAAAATAATAATAAAGCAACAAAAGGTATTTTAATCATCATCAGAAATGAAACGACCAAACCTCAGCCAATCAGTGGCTCCTAGTTTGTCCGTTACAGCAATAGTGACCTTTCAATTCTTAATGGTCTTAAGCTAACAGTGACTTTGGAAATGACCACTAAAAAGTAGATTCCCACTTTGTGAACAACTGTAGTTCTAATTATATAATAAATGACAGCACGTGTATCTCAGTAGTTAACAGTTTCATTAAAAAGTTTATACTATTATTTTTAGTAACACAATTCAAAAATTTTAGTTTGTTTATCTTTACATGCATGGTGATATATTTGCAGTATTTAGTTCAGCAAAATATCAGGATTAGAATAAAAAAAGAAAAAAAAAACCTTATAAGAAAAAGAAATCAGATATTGAAAAATACATAAATAAATAAATAAAAAATAATAAAAAAAAAAGGAATAATGTATACATATCATGTTCAGGCTATGCAGCACCTTACACAGATATTAGGGAGATCACAGAACTGACCCCCCCCCCCCAAAAGGAGGGAAAGCTATAAAAGGGCAGGGCTAAAAAGGTAGCCGTTTTCTGTATCCAGGCATATAAATGGAATAATGAGGGGAAGGTAAAAATATAGTAGATTAAAGATGCCAATGCAAGATGAAAAATATGGAAAATCAAAGCCTTAAGAGGCTTTTGGAGCAAAGAGCGATCAGGAGCTAAGGGGTAGGTGGACTGTAGGCGACAGTTACATATCCCTGACGTCAACAAAAACTGTCATCCATTGTGATAAGCTGCTTCATTTTGACCTGAAAAAAAAGTCTAACCTGGACCAATAAAAGAAAAGGCTTGATTCCTTTTAAAATCCCCGATAGGACAAAGGTTAATAAGGTTCTTCATTTTGAAGCAAGTCCAGATTAAATTTCCTTCTAGAATTGAAATAATAAAAAAAAAAAAATTTTTTGGATGAAATTCCGATTTGAGATGCACACAAATGAAACTGAAGACAATGTTCCTCATGTTTCTTTATTCTTGAACAACCATTTCAATGCTCTGCAAAGCAACGTCTTTTTAACAAGCTTTTCTCTCTCTGATCAACGTTTGTTTTTCTATATAACCTGGCTCATACTGTTACTGTCTTATCCCTCCAGTCTTTTATCTTGGACTTTAATGACTCAGTTGGTAGTTGTCACGGAAACAGCAAAAATAGTGTCACCATAACCAAGTGTCGCATGGAGAGCTATTAATGGAGAATATGATTCTTTCATGTTGAGGACCCCATATTTAGACCAGTTTGCCATGAGTAATACTAAAGTTGGCTAATTTAAAATCCTTTAAGTCAGTGGTAAAATAGTTTCTTAAACAGAGATAAATCGGTATATGCTAAAATAAAGCTGTTTGAGTAATCATCAAACTTGAACCTAACTGAAAGTCTATGGGGAAAAACTGAAGGCAGAGTGTAACGACGAGGACCATGAAACTATGGATGGATCGTGATTAATCTATTATTGAAATTCCTGTCAACTAATTTAATCGTAAACTGAAGTATAGAGACTAAAACATGCCTTTTATTATTATTAAAGTATGCCTGATTCTGATTCTCAAAAAAAAAAAAGTAAAACGCTTCGCATTTAAGAAAAAAACTTTTTTTTGTCTATCAATATGCTCTTTCTAGAACTCCATAAGTGGAAAAGTTTGTTTCACCTGGCTTGATTTCATAAAAAGTCTTTAAAGAGCCTTTGGTGATCCGATTATTTATTGATTAATTGACAGCTGGATTATTGAAAAAATAATTGACAGAGTAAATTATTTGCAAAATAATCGTTAGTTGCAGCTGCAACTAATCAATCCATGCAAAACATTTATCTAAATAGTTCACACTGTACAAAAAAAACAATGTGCATGAATTTATCTGGGCTAATTTTTTTCTTGTTTTTGGTGGGTGTCTGATAATTGTATGTACATTAAGCTCCTTCAGAAATATCCATCCATTTTTTGACAAGCTTTATCCCAAGCGGGCTTGCGAGGGGTGCTGGTACCTATCTCCAGCTGTCTACGGGCAGCAGGCAGGGTGCACCCTGGACAGGTCACAAGTCTATCACAGGGCAACACAGAGACAAACAGGACAAAACAACCATTCACACACACACACACTCACACCTAAGGAGAATTTAGAGAAACCAGTTAACCTAACAGTCATATTTTTGGACTGTAGGAGGAAACCGGAGTACCTGGAGAAAACCCAAGCATGCTCAGGGAGAACATGCAAGCTCTATGCAGAAAGACCCCAGGCTGGGAATCGAACCTGAAACCATCTTGCTGCAAGGCAGCATTGCTACCCAATGCCCCACTGAGCAGCCCCCTTTAGAAATATATTTAATAATAAAAATTTTACATTGTCATTACATTTCCTTCTAATCATGTGTTTGCACTGGAAGCAAATAGTAACTTTCCACAAAGTCAACACCAATATGATGACAAAGAGTGTACATAAAGTGTCTAGCATGTAAACCTCATAATAAATCTTACCATGATTGGGGAAAGCCGACGGGATTTAGAGGGAGCTTCTTCGTAGGGCCTCTCTGCTAGAGATGCAATGATCCTCTTCCTGTGGCCTAAGGGCCCAACTTTTATAACCTGGAAGAAATACCAGTCTATAAATCTCCATTTCAGGGTCACCTGAATATCTCATGCAGAAAGATTTAGCCAGACAAAGCTAAGAGAGACACATCCAAAAATCACATTGGCAAACAGAATGGCAGGCGCCCTTCACTAGGAAGCAAACACAAGTGACTTTTGTCAATAATTTAACATCAATCTGTTTTGCCGTGAGCCTAAAATACAACACTGACTCTCTACAATTCACAAGCCATTTTTAGACGATGAGCTACAAAAAGAAAGAGGACCCTACAGGCTCAGAGGAGTTGTTCATCTGTCTGTCTGTCTGTCTGTCTGTCTGTCTGTCTGTCTGTCTGTCTGTCTGTCTGTCTGTCTGTCTGTCTGTCTGTCTGTCTGTCTGTCTGTCTGTCTGTCTGTCCCATCTAATGTCAGAAAGTCTTGCAGGATGATGCAAATGTTCATGTAGTCAAATCCCATCACCTTAATACAACGTATTTACATAATTGGCTATTAACATTCATGCTCATTCTCGAAGGGTGGACGTTGAGTGATTAATGTAACATTTGCAATTATGTTTCTGGTACAAAATCTTCCAGAACAAGCTCATATAATTCTTTGTCTCATGGGTTGAATTAACAAAAAGCACAGGAAGCCAAAGCTCTGTGTATCATATTTCTGGTTATGTTTTTATCATGACCATCATCATTCACAAAAAAGTTCACCAACATCTGTGAATGCTTAGAATCTTGGACTTATTTTGGAAATGCAGCCCATAGATCATCAAGAGGCCCAGTGCTATTTGCTGTAAAATGCTGAAGAGGATGTAGGAAATGTAATGGGCAAAGAGATTTCTGCCAAGATGCTCAGAGGCAGTTCTTTCTGCTCTGCTCGCTGAGAGTAATGTGCCTCACACTCAGACCCGCATCTTTCTTCATCGCAGTCTGCTGGACACCATCTCTCACTGCATTGGCAGCGAGCTCTGCTGCTGCTACTGCAGCTCTTTTGGCTCTTTCACCACCACTGCCTTTTCATTTACTGCAATCAGGCATAAGTACAATAGCGTCAAAGACACTCATCCTCAGTTTTTTCTGTTAACATCTAATCACCTAGTGTCATGGTTTGATTTAATTAAAGACTAGATAAAAAGGTTATCTGGTACTTACAGAATGGGTCTAAAAAATATATTTCTAACATCTTTTTCAGTTTACGACAGAGTATCAGGGCCAGGCTAGAGATTTGTTTTTCTATTACGAGAATAAAGTCGTTACATTACGAGAATAAAGTCGTAAAATTATGAGAATAAACTCGTAACAGTATGAGAATAAAGTAATAAAATTACGAGAAAAAAATCATAAAATTACGAGAATAAATTAATAAAATTATGAGAATAAAGTCGTAATATTAACAGAATAAAGTTATATTTTATGACAACTCCTACAAGAAGCACTGTCTTCCCTAAAATGAGGAATGTCGAGCATTATGTGAAGTTATACTCTGGATCTGGTTTGACAAATAAGGAAATCTTTTAGCAAAGCAGCATCATACTGGGCAGAATATGAAGGAGGTTGCTGTTTGGTGGTGCTTGTCAGCCTCATGGTGGTCAGAGCTCGAAGGTTTCTTTCTGAAACAGGTTGTTGTATGATGACTTCATTCTTGTAATATTACGACTTTATTCTCGTAATGTTAAGACTTTATTCTCAAATAAAACAATAATTAAAAAAATCTCTAGGCTGGCCCTAATACTCTGTTGTATTCAGTTCTTTTACTGAGCAAAGTGAATATATAAAAGATATAGAAATCTTAAAATAATGTTGAAAGGTTTGTAATGTTCTCCAGGTGTTTATTTTTATTCGTTTGGTTCCTTTTCTGTATTAAGTTTTGACATTTAAGGTCCTATCATGTTGCTCCATAGTTTGGGATTTAGTTTCTTAGTTTATTTTTTGTGTTTTATTCTTCATACTGTGATTTATTTCTTTCAGATCTATGTTTATCTTTTCCTCTTGATTGATACCTTTGTGTCTCAGCTTAGGTGCATTTTTGTTGATTAGTCTTTCTCTCTCAGCTTCCCTGCCTTCATTCTGCCTCAGCTTCATATTTCCACCCATCAGCTCTTCTGGACTTTTTCCACCCCAGCCTCACTTGGCAAACCTATTGGTTAACTTTGTCCTTTACTCAATTCTTCCTTTTATTGTGTATTCCGAAAGTTCTTTGGAACTTTTCTTTTTTCTTATCTCTCTTTTGCAAAAGCCTGTCTTATAGTCCTAACAAGACCTGTGGCAGAGGACAGCCTGGCCTGAGACCAACATGCTTCAATAACAGGTCTGAGTTATGCCGTGCTAGCATGATGTGTAAATGGTCATAAGAACCATGTTTGGCTGCAAGAACCAAGCTTGGCATGTTTAACTGATCCAGGCTTGGTCTGAAGTTTTCTCGGATCGGTTTCAAAGGGCTAGCGTACATTTTTTTTGTTTGTCTTTTTATTTTTGACAACTTTATAGACCTTAAGAAAACATGTAGCTGCTTTCAAACTTAATATTTGCACTAAAGCACAACCTGCTGAATCAACCATTCCAATGCCATATTGATTCGTCTTTTATAATCACCAAAGATAAAACCTAATAAGACTTTTCTTGTCATCACTCACCACTTTTCTCCTTAATCTACATTATCTGTTCTTTATCTACTAATTACCCAGTGATTTAAAAAAAAATGTCTGAGTTTTTGTTTTATGCAAATTTCACTGAATCCAATATAAAGTGCCTCTTAACCTCAAACAGAATCCATGGCATTTCTGGGCCTGTGAAAAACAGTTTTAATGATAAAGAACTTAAAAAAACAAAACATCACTTTAAATTAATAAACATTTAAAATCATTTAAAAGTGTAGTTTTTAAGCAATTCTTACATTGACAATCTCCAGCTCCCACAAGTTCTTTACACACTCCAGGGTGCGGTAGCCATTAGACAGAAAGTTGGGGAGATACTCATGCAGGCCAAGGCCATCCAACCAAGAGGCTAAAGATGTGCTGCCGTCACAACCTAGAGGTTTGACCTACAGACAGAAAGAGGTGTGTGAAAGCAAATGCTGTGGTATTAACTTAAAATCAGCTATTAAAGACAAAGTTTGAGGTCATCTTTGATTTGTACCAGACCAACGCAGTTCTCCGCCATGTTATTCTAACACAGGACGACAGGTAAAGGGAATTTCCTACAGTCATTAAGCTATTTAAAAAACAAGTGAAGTATCTTTTTATGTCTTTTTCAGATAAAAATTATAATCCTACCAATAATACACAACTAATTCTATGCATGAAGTGCTTAAATTCTAAGTGAAATGTCTTATAATTGGCATGTTAGCTTTTTTTATTTTTGCCTGTAGCTCAAGCATCTGGATCAACCTAGAGCCATGTTTGAATCTACCCTTACCGTCACTCATCCACTCATGAATGACTATGAAATTTACATTAGATTGTAAGTTTGAGATAGCAATTAACAAAAGTAGAATACCAAAATAAAAGCATTCAAAATATGATTTCAGCACAAAACCCTTCAGCAGATAAATTAATGCTTAGTTAAGCTTTGTTTAAATACAGCGACATGAATACATTCATGAATGGATGAGCATTTCAGGTTCATTTGCGCGCCAGTTTCTAGCCTGAAACTGATTAGTATGTTGTGTGCAGAAAATTATTATTTCCGCTTTAAGGACTAATGCTGAAGGGAAGAAGATCACATTTACATCCATTCGCAATCAAAACCTTTATTTCGCTTCATTTTCTCTAATTGACAACTGCTATTAAAGCACTTGAGTCTATTTCTCGTGTTGTGGTGTTAAGTACCTTGGGAAAGCTGCGTGCTGCATGGAGGATTTTCTTTCTGTGTCCTGGGTCAGTGATCCCCATGTCTCTTAAATCTTGGTCCTCCATCACGTTACTTCCCTGCATGTGCAAAAACACGAGAAAAACATGCAAATAAACTCATTCACACACAAGCGCAACCACACGGACAAAAGCATCCATGCAAACAGTCTCTCTTGGGCACACTTTGATTGCAGACTTTAAAAAAAATGTAGTACATCTCATTTTACACACATCTTAACATATACTGTTTTCTCAGAATATATTAGATCAATAAAACCTTCGGACTTGTTCACCACACTTCCAGAGAACCGCAAATTGTGGCTGTACATGTGCAAAGACGCAGAATATGCACATCTCTGACACGAACACTAACAACAGAGTGGGAGGACAATGAAGTCAAATAAATTGTGCATGCCAAGAGTAATCAATCTAATCTGGTGCGACTCAGAGAGAACAAAGCCTCCGAAGCAGCAGCAGCAACAGCATCTACGGGACGCCTTTGCTGCTATCTCAGTGGGGGGAACAAAATTACATCCATTATTTCACTCTTTCTTCCACAATTTCTGATTGATTAAGGCCATAATCTGCAATTATAATCTTATCTCATATCCTGAAAAAAAAAATCTAACTTTTTTTGCCTAATTATTGGAGATACCCAATCACAGGTCGAGGTATTCTCTTTTTTTTCTTGGCAGGAATGAAGTCACAGGATAAGCAGGAAATCAAGGAGCTACATTTTTTTTTCCTCACACAGTACTGCTGCCGATTGATTCTCTCTGGCAAAGACTGTTAAAATGGTCTGTAGTCTTTACCCAATTGGCTTTCATCGGATTGATTTTGGAGCACACAATGCAGCAGCATCCATAGGCCTGGATCAGGGCGAAGTCAGGAGATTACTCACTGATCGCTGTAATAAAAGGTCAAAATGAAGTTGAGTGGGACGTGAGGGAGGCCCAAAATAGATTCTTCACTTTTATTAACACAGTTTGAAGTTTGATGATGCCTCGGGGGACTCTGCAAACTTATTATTTCATGCTGCATTTGAAACATGTGACGGGAATGTATGGTTCAGTTCTTACATAGCTTATGAGCTATGGTGGCTTGATTTAATCTGATACGACTTGCAGATGTAGCCATGGAAGAAGTCCTTCATCTCACTAAATGCACTCAGTTAAAGCAGCATTGAATTAGAATTGCTCTATTGGTCTGCCCCACAGAGGAATTGTAAAAAAAAGAAGGAAATGCAACAGATTCCGTTACTATTTCAAGACTCAGTGGGCGTTAATGGTGAACCGATGAGGAAAAATAGGTTTTTGTGTTACAATATGTATGTTCAGTTCCACATTATACCAACAGGAACAGAAAGGGCTGCACAGACTGATGCAATATTAATGCAGTGGAAATGCAATGTAAATGCATGATGGGGAACTTTTAGATGCTCTACACAAGACAATATGCCTCACTGCCACATTTGTTTGGAAATTAAAGCAACAAAGCATGAGTTATAGTAGGAGAAAAAAGAAGGGAATTATGTTGAATGTTGGACTGGGAGGAAACGTGTAGGCATACAGGCAGAGAGAATGGAAGCCACAGCCGCCCCACTTCTGGTGGCATAAAAGGAGCACAAAATGATAATCGTCGTGTAAAAATTATGAGAATGGGCGCACAGCTGTTCATAATTTATGATCCCTCAAAAGCCACATCTCACAGCAATCATCACATGCAGAGAGTCTCACTGAACCATGCCAGTGCCGGCCTCTTTGCTCTAAGGGGGGAGCAAGGGAAACTTTGCAAAATACACAGAATAGTATCTTCTGCTATCCTGACAGTAGCTTGTAGGTACAACAAAGCAAACATGCCGAGATGCCTGTGGCTTCAGAATTGCACTAAAAGATTGTTGCTCAGATGTTTCTTTATTATTATTTTTTAGTAGCTTTCCTCCCCGATTCTTCTTGGATTTTTCAGACACTGCATAAATACCAAAGTCCAATGAAAGGTGAACTAATGATTTCTATGCATCCTGGTCGGTATTATGAATTAAATTAGTCTTTTAGATAAGTTCCAAAAGATTTATTTAATCTTTAATTAGGTGTAGATTTTAGCTTAATGTCAATATAAATCACAATGTAATTTTATTGTATAACAGTGCTATGACATTTCTGATCTTTGACTGAATGAATTATTTTTTTTAACAGATGGATGCTAAAATAATAAATAAAAAAAAGACAAGAAAACATATGAACATAATAAATATTTTCTATACACTTTACAGTCTGTGATTTTGTGTTATTGTTTTTTTTTTTTTCTGGAAACAGTTAAAAAATATTACATTTAAAGTTGTAGGGAAACGGCTGTTAACTAACCAGTTAGCAACTTAGTGCTAGTAGGTTCCCAATGGAAAAATTAAATTGGGACCAAGTAGCTCTAAATTGGCGTCGTGGATGAGTCTCCTACGTCATACATTTTTTATTTAGAGGAGGAAAGTAGGGACGAAGATGTGGAAGATGGCACCAGGGCGGCAGAAGCTTGGTTTGGTGTTGAAGACTTACAGCCGTACATGTTTGAGCCCTTGCCTCACAACGCTGCCAGTTCTGTTAGCTCTACGCCTGCCGAAGACACAGACGTCCATCCCTGTGAACACTGGGACGGAACTCAATGGGAAAGTTAATTATTTTTATTTCTTATTTCAAACATTGCGTATATTAGCTGCAACATATGAATCAAGATGCTATGACTGCAGAAATTTGATTGACAGATGACCGTTGATATACGATTGGCCGAATTTAGGTGTACAAGCTGGCGTATAACTAACTGGCCTGCATAAGATAATGAAAAATTTTTGTTTTTTTAAATAGAAATTTTCTAACTTTTGTGAAAATATCATCTGAGTACATTTATAAACATGATTAAGCCAGAATGATTTGACATTTTAATATGATTTCCATACGACTTTAAGGAGTTTGATAAACATGGCAAAATAATTGTTAATTTTTCTGAGGCTTCTATTTTATTTCTTTTGAGCTTGAAAAGAATTGTCGTTATGAGAAAAATTAAGTCCATCCTTACTTTAAATACTATGATTGAGGAGACACAGCTTTTTTTCATAGGTGTAATGACAGTAACCTCTATATTGCGGCTCCTCCTGGTGACTGAATGCCAACTGATGCACCTTTAAACAATACTTAAGATAATAAGGCAACCTTTACAGACAATCTTCTTCATAATAATCATGGTAGGACTCAAGGTTTGGTATAGAAATTCAAAGCAAAAATCTGACCTTAAAAAGAAGAGAGTAGCTGCTTTACCCTAAACTAAGGCTAAAGAATTGCATATTATAACATGATTGTTTTAGCAGTGTTTCAAAGGGTTTTTATTGAGTACTGCTAGTTTTAGTCCACCAGACATTTGGAAGCAGAGCTGCTCTGTTAGTAGTGGAAGGCAAGCATGGTACATATACAAAGCTTAATAAACTTACAATTCTTTACTGATTTGGGTTTATTGAAAACATAACTCAAAGATGATCTACATAACTACTAAAACATAACTTTTTTTTCAGCAAAATGGTTTAACTTCTGTGCTTCATACCAAGCCTGTACAAGAATATTGAAGGTTAAAAAAATCCTCCTTCCACAAGTCAGAGGTTGCACTTCAGGTAGGCCCACCTAACGAGTGAAGCCCACAACATAAAATAGGAGGACCCCACATGGTAGAGGCGTCATAACAAATTGATATTCTCTGGTGACAAAATAAATATTTGATCATACTTATGCCTATAGTTAACTTTGGAAGATGTATAAAAGCATGATTTCAGACTTTTCTCCCTGTTTCTACTGCATTTTGAACCATATTTAGTTTACACTCCACTGAAATTTTCAATATTAATTTTGGTTTCGATTTCTCCTACTCTGTTTACATTCTGATGACTGCTGCACTTTATAGTGGTAGTGTTCATTTAACTGTTGTAAGTGTTAGGCAAAGTAATTTTGTTTTGTATACATTCTGTGTATACAGAATGACAATAACGTTTGTCTAAGTCTAAGTGATCAAGAGTTTTTATCATTATCTGTTCCAAAATTCAAAAACATACCATTCAAAAAGGTGAAACTCTTTCTGAGTCCAAGAAATTTATATTTTTTTTTGGAGCAAAATGTACATAAAAAATTCCAGTTTTCAACATATTGACTATAGCTTTAAAAAGAGTATCTGGTGTGACACTGTGTGATGAGTTCTATACCTTTTCTATATAACTGTCATGGTCTTACTTTCTGTTTTACTTTGATCCGTGTGGGTTTTTTTTGGGGTTTATTTCCTACTTTGTTTCTAGATATCTTTTAGTTCTCAGGTTTTTCTATTGTTGTCCTCTGTTGCCCTCTTGTGTGTGCTCCTTTCCCTTGGCTCCCTCGTTGTCTCCACTCACACCTGCTCCTTATCAGCTCATTAGCCCTGCCTTTGTCTAAGTCAGCCATATATACACTCCCTCTGCTGTCACTCCTTGTTGGTTCCCTGTTGCTGATGGTTTTCCATTGATGTCTCCATGGTTCTGTTTTGTGTTACATTTTAAGTTGGATTTTTGATTCCTGCTGTTGTTAACTGTTTTCACCAATTAAACTGCAGAAATCACCTCAGCCTTTCTGCCTCTGTATTTGAGTCCTCTAAACCACAACCAAACCCTGACAGTAACTTTTAGTTATCAGGCTTCTCTCCTGTGGAACCAACTACCAGTTTAAGTCTACTATAAGGGGTAGGCTTAAAACTTTCCTTTTTGATAAAGCTTATATTTAGAGTGGCTGAGGTTGTGGCTAGAGTGGCTGAGCTATCTCTATAGTTATGATGCTAAAGGCTTAGTCTGCTGGAGGACATAGGGGCCCCTTTTTCATAATTCAGCCTCACTTTACCTCTATTCTCCCACTCTGCAGAATGTGTTAGTTCAATCTCTAATACTATGCTCTCACTGCTTTTTCTTACAGTAGCATCATCTGGTCTGTTCCTGTTTCCTGTGACTCCATCCTGGAGAGAAATGTCAGCTGTCCAGCTGCCATAAACACCTTTGTTTTATAAATGTTCAAGATCTGCCTGTT